GTCTCCCTGTCCTCTGTCCTCTGTCCTCTGTCCCTCTGTCCTCTGTCCTCTGTCCTCTGTCCTCTGTCCTCTGTCCTCTGTCCCCTGTCCTCTGTCCTCTGTCCTCTGTCCTCTGTCCTCTGTGTCCTCTGTCCTCTGTCCTGTGTCCCCTGTCCTCTGTCCTCTGTCCTCTGTCCTCTGTCCTCTGTCCTCTGTCCCCTGTCCTCTGTCCTCTGTCCTCTGTCCTCTGTCCTCTGTCCTCTGTCCCTCTGTCCTCTGTCCTGTGTCCTCTGTCCTCTGTCCTGTGTCCCTGTCCCCTGTCCTCTGTCCTGTGTCCTCTGTCCTGTGTCCTCTGTCCTCTGTCCTCTGTCCTCTGTCTCTGTCCTCTGTCCTCTGTCCCTCTGTCTCTGTCCTGTGTCCTCTGTCCTCTGTCCTCTGTCCCTCTGTCCTCTGTCCTCTGTCCTCTGTCCTCTGTCCTGTGTCCTCTGTCCTCTGTCCTCTGTCCTCTGTCCTGTGTCCTCTGTCCTCTGTCCTCTGTCCCTCTGTCCTCTGTCCTCTGTCCTCTGTCCTCTGTCCTCTGTCCCTGTCCTGTGTCCTCTGTCCTGTCCTCTGTCCTGTGTCCCCTGTCCTCTGTCCTGTGTCCTGTCCTGTCCTCTGTCCTGTGTCCTCTGTCCTCTGTCCCTGTCCCTGTCCTCTGTCCTGTCCTCTGTCCTCTGTCCTCTGTCCTCTGTCCCCTGTCCTCTGTCCTGTGTCCTCTGTCCTCTGTCCCTGTCCCCTGTCCCCTGTCCTCTGTCCTCTGTCCTCTGTCCTGTGTCCTGTCCTGTCCCTGTCCTCTGTCCTCTGTCCTCTGTCCTGTGTCCTCTGTCCCCTGTCCCGTGTCCTGTGTCCTGTGTCCTCTGTCCTCCTGTCCTGTGTCTCTCTGTCCCCTGTCCTCTGTCCTCTGTCCTGTGTCCTCTCTGTCCTCTGTCCTGTGTCCTCCTGTCCTCTGTCCTGTGTCCTGTGTCCTCTGTCCTGTGTCCTCTGTCCTGTGTCCTCTGTCCTGTGTCCTGTGTCCTGTGTCCTGTGTCCTGTGTCCTCTGTCCTCTCTGTCCCCTCAGGTCCCAGAGCCACACGAGTCACTGACACTTCATCTCTGAGCTGAACGGCTCCAAAACATCAAAACATCTAAACCCGAGAACAAAGTGAAGTAAAAGTACAAACAGCAGAGTGAAAAGTGTCTTTTCAGACGCTTTTAAAGAATAAAAACTAAAACTGTTCAGTCCAAATGTTCAGATCTCAAAAAACTTCAAAAAACTTCAAAATGCATCAAAACTCACAGAAGTGACCGAGATCCAAATCTGATTTTTTCAACTTTTAACTCCAAAAAATGAGGCAAAATTAGAATTCAGGAGAATTTTCAGTGAAATATTCTTTTGCAAAAGAAATTAGATTCCAGATATTTTCAGCTCAAATGTGCAAAATCTGTAAAACTCATGTTTCTGTTTTTGATTTTAAAAATAATAATGTTGTTTCATATTAAAAATAAAATCAGGACAAAATTAAACACTTATAAAACAGAAGTTTCAAATTCATTTCTCTAAATTTCAGCCTTTTGTTTTTCTCTTGCAGCAGAAACTTCCACCTCTGAAAATCTGCAGCTTCAACCCAAACTCCTGTTTGTGCTCAAAGGCACAACAACAACAACAACAACAAAACACACCAGCCGAGCCCCGGAGCCCCGGAGCCCCGGAGCCCCGGAGCCCCGGAGCCCCGGAGCCCCGGAGCCGCTCTCACACACGCCGCTCTCACCTGCGTGTTCCCGGGCTGCGCGGCTCCCGCGGTCCCGCTGAGCTCCGGGAGCCTCCTGCGGCTCAACACCAGCAGATACACGAGCGCCCCGAGCCACACGAGCAGAGCCACGGCCACCGCGAGCCGCGCCGACACACGCGCTTCATGCCCCCGCACACGCCCACCGGAGCCGCCGCCGGACGAGCCACCGCCGAGCCGCCGCCGGAGCCGCACCGGAGCCGCACCGGAGCCGCCGCCGGACGAGCCCCAGGCAGCCTCGGCTCCGGCTCCTGTCACCGCAGCATCACCGAGACTCCGGGAAACTGCGCCGGGAGAAGAGCGCGAGGAGCGGGGAGAGACACACCGAGGCTCCGGGAGGAAGGACCGGACACACCGAGGAGCGGCGGAGCGGAGTGACCGGGAGAGGAGCGCGGAGAGCGGGGAGACTCACACCGAGGCTCCGGGAAACTGCACCGGGGAGAAGAGCGCGAGGAGCGGGCGGCGGCGGAGCAGAGTGACCGGGGAGAGGCTGTGGGTCCCGGTCTTGGTCCCGGTCTTGGTCCCGGTCCGGGTCTCGGTCTCGCGCTCTGGTCTCGCGCTCTGGTCTCGCGCCGTGTGTCTCCGGTGTGTGAGCGCGAGGCGGACCTGAGCGCGAGGAGCTCCACCTGCCGCACGTGACGCTGGTACCGGAGCTCGTGGGCGGTTCCGCGTGTCCAGAACGCGCGCGCTGCTTCACCCTCCGCGGCACGAGGCGGGACCAGAGTCTAACCCTAGTCCAGAGACTCCGGGTCCGACACCCGCTCCTCTGGTCCGACACCCGCTCCTCCGGGTCCGACACCCGCTCCTCCGGGTCCGACACCCGCTCCTCTGGTCCGACACCCGCTCCTCCGGGTCCGACACCCGCTCCTCCGGGTCCGACACCTGCTCCTCTGGTCCGACACCCGCTCCTCTGGTCCGACACCTGCTCTGGTTTGGTTTGGTTTGTGTGGAATGTTCCGCAGTGTGACTTTAACAGCTCAGATTTACTCACAGGAGCTTTGACTCAAAACAACGACACGCGGGCGCCTCTCCACAGAGCCGACCCGTAACCTGTGCTGCTGACGTTATACACTTGATGACATCACGAGGTGGAGCAGAGTGTTTGGAGTTTTGCAGATGTAACAGAGTCAGAATAAAGAAACAAACAAACACAAGGAACAGACCTGAGTGTGACAGGAACAACAGAACAACATGTTTTATTGTGATAGATTTTCAAAATAAAACACTGGGACACTCAGTTTGTGGTAAAATTATGTAAAATAAGTTGTTTTGCTCTCGGTTCGTTCATGACGAACATGAGTCAGTTTAGTCACATTTTCTTTGTGTTTTGTTTTTTTAATCAGATTTTCAAACAATGTTCAGTTTTTGTCTTTTTACTGATCCAGGATCAGATTTGTCCAAACAGAGACACTGGGACATTTCCGTAGAAACTGGTTCAGTGGTTTAATACGATTTGGTCTGGATTTGGTTTTGGTTCTGATCTGGTTCTGGTTTTGGTTCTGGTTTTGGTTCTGGTTTTGGTTTTGGTTCTGATCTGGATTCTGCACCTGGATTAAATCGGCCCAGGTTCAGTTTCTGGATCAATAAAATCATCTATAATCGGTTTAATTGGACAAACGGATCAATCCGTGAGTCTGTAAAGTCACACTGCGGAACATGAGGGAGACCGGAGCCTGCGGGTCAAGTGGCTCACTGCAGGAGCCGCGCTGAGCCGCGCTGAGCCGCCCCGCGCTTTAATAAATGAAGATGAGAAACACAAAGAGCCGATTCTTTAAATAACAGATGAGCTCGTGAGCCGCGGAGCTGTGGCTCCCTCTGGCGGCGGCTCGCGGCGGCGCAGCGGCTCTCGGCTCTAAATGTGATTATGAGATTATTTTAATCCTTCTGTTTAAAGTGTTTAAAGTGTTTAAAGTGTTTAAACACTTCACACATAAAGCCTCATTTAGACTTAAGGACACATACAAGAGACATAAACACACGAACACACACACACATACACACACACATACACACACACGCACACACACACACACACATACACACACACACACACACACACACACACACACACACACACACATACACACACACACACACACACACACATACACACACACACACACACACACACACACACACACACACACACACACACATCACACACACACACACACACACATCACACACACACACACACACACACACACATCACACACACACACACACACACAAACACATACACACACACACACACACACATAAACACACACACACACACACACAAACACACTGGAGCTTCAGGAGTCACCGTCACCATGGAAACAACTTAAACTTTACACTGTAAAAACAACATCCAGTTAAATTAAAATGAACTAAATTTAAAACATTTGAGTCGATTCAATTTGACAAATCAAATTATCCACAAATAGATGAAGTTTGTTTTTATTATTTCAAGGAACATTTGATTGTTTTTTATTTTAAGTGTAAAAATGTGTATTTTTTGTATTTGTATTTTTACTCATTAAATGAAATTTACTCAAATTGTGATAAAACTTCCTTAAATCAAGTCTGATCTTGGTCAGATTTAGTTTTTTTAAAACGGTCGAGCGTCGTCAAAATGTCTCCACCACAGGAAGTTCAACCATGAACCTAACGTGAGCCAGAGGCAAAGAAGAGCACTGAGGAGTGGAGCAGTAACACCTGCCGCAGCACCTGCCGCAGCACCTGCCGCAGCACCTGCCGCAGCACCTGCCGCAGCACCTGTGTGGTTCGTCTGGAGCCTGTTGATGTTCCTCGATGTTCAGACGTTTGTTCTCGTCGTCGTCGTCGTCGTCTTCTTCTCGTCAAACACCTGGAGTTCGAGTTTAACACAAACTCTGTTCAGGCCGAGTCTGTTCCACCTCGTGATGTCATCATGTGGTGATACAGGAAGTGCACCACTGTGTTTTTAAACTCCACACTTCACCTTCACTTGAATCACCTGGATCAGTTCAGTCCAGGAGTTTATTTATCGATCTTGACTGAACTAAAGAGAAATGGAGCTGAGAACATTAAAAACAAAAAAGAAAACTACCACTTGATGACATCACAAGGTGGAACAGAGTGTTTGGAGCTTTGGAGATGTAGACAGGAACATTAGAACATTAGAACCTGGATTAAAGAGTCTATTTACCATAAACTTTAAACATGAGTCGATTGAAGAGACAAAGACAAAGTTCCTCTAATCCAGTTTATTCCTCGCTGAAAATGGAACACGATAAAATTAAGGAGAAATTAGGACAGAATCTTTTACACATGAAACTAAAGAAGCGGCTCTAGGCTAAAGTGAGTAACTCAAACTTTATGAGGTTAAATAATTTGTCTTTAAAAGTTACAGAAACGTCGTCCGTCGCAGCAGCACCGAAAAACCGACGACAAACCGACGGCAACTCCCCGAATCTCGCAACGACGACAACATCACCGCGGCGAGACTCCACGGCGCCCCCCGGTGGACGCAGAGGTCGGTGTCGGCGTCGGCGTAGTTTGAGGCGGCACCACAGTTCTGCTTTTATTTTGAAAATCCCAAACGGCCTTTGGTGGTAAAGTCCCGTACCGCCGCCGCCGCCGCCGCCGTGGGAAAGATCATCAGGAAGATTACAGGATAAACTGGAGGGTCGTCTCCAAGAGGTCCAGGATTTCAACGCAACAAAAACATCGTTATAAACAATTACAAAACCACTTCTTCAAATTAGTTCTGGAAGCAGATTTCAGATTAAAGGTTCACTGTGTAACTTTTCCGCTGAAGGTTCTGCTACCCGTTTTATTCCATGAGGATGTGAGCGCTTTGAAACATGTCCATCGCCACCGCCGCCATGTTTGTAGTTTTTTGTGGATGTGCGTTTGTTCATCCACACACTCGTTTGATTCGTCCTCCATGTTTGTAGTTTTTTTTTTTTTTTTTTGGCTTCGTCAGACATTTGTCCCTCTTCCCTTTTCGAGGCGAAGGGTCCGCCACCCGTTTTACTCCATGAGGATGTGAGAGCGCTGAATGTTCCAGAGTGTGGCATTGGCCCCGTCGCCATGGAGACGCACAGGACGGATGAGATGGGACATGTGTGTGAGTTTGTGTTTGTGTGTCTCAGATGAAGGTCGGAGGTTCGATTCTCGCTCTCGACTTGAACATCACTGATGAAGCGTCACGTCCACAGAGCCGCAGGTTGAAGGTTTGAATCCAGATCCCACAGGTGAAGGCTGCTGTTGTGTCCTTGGGCAAGACTCTCTGTGTGTGCTGTGTTGGATAAAAATTTGACTTTTTACCGTTTACACAACAATTTTTCACTTTTCAGGCTCAAAACTTTTACAACAAAGATCCACTCACACTGGAGGGAGGGGGGTGAAGTGTCTTGCCCAAGGACACAACAGGAGAATTCATCTGTTGTGTCTCTTTTTACTTTTTCTTTTACAAGTTTGTGGTGAAAGAAAATTAAACATCTAAACTGGAGGAAGAGAAACTTTTGAAGAAAAAAAGAAAATTCCTTTAAAATAAGATTGTAATAAAAAGTAAAAGATGATGAAAGGAAATTATGATGGTGAAAATATTTGTTATAGTCGCTAAAAATGTTTATTAAAAAATGGGGGAAAAAAGAAGAGAAATGGAATTTAAATTGTAAATTGGTCAAAATAAAATCTAAGTGTGTGTAGTGGTGTTTCTGCTGCACTTCTGTTTTATCAAATTTATGTTGGTGTGTTTTTTGTCATTTTGTATTTATTGTGGTGTTGCTCTATGTTTTTGTGTTTAGTTTTTTTGTAGATTGTTTTTAATTTAAAAACGACAGAAAATACAAGTGTGTGAGATTTTCAGAAAGTCGGAGAAAAACGAGAAACCCAAACTTTTAAACGGTGTGAGCTGGAATCGCACCATCAACCTGTGACTCTGTGGATCTGACACTGAAACAATGACGTTTATGTCGAGAAGGATTCAAACCTACGACCTTCAGATGAGCCACAAACGCTCCACAAACTGACCTCCTCCTGTTGTGTGTTTGTGTTTGTTTGTGTTTTGCAGATGTAAAATTCGCCCGTTGCTCGTCTCCATGGCGACAGGACGACGTTGGGAGTGAAAAGTTACACAGTGCTCCTTTAAAACACGACGACTGATTGAATAAAGGTGATGATCAGCGGTGAATGAATCAAATTTAAACTTCTCATTGTGAAACTTTTGAAGTGTGAAACACAAACGTTGGATCTGCTTCATGAAGAAAACAAACGAGTTCAGTGTTTTTCAAATCAAACTCCACAAAATGTCGTTTAGTCAAAAGTTCAGTTTGAGAAAAGAAAAGAAAAGAACAGAACTGAACAGAACCGGCCTCAACCGCCACAAACTGGAACATCCAATATTTTACTTCTATTATCTTTTATTTTATTTATTTTTTATACAAATTCACACTTTCAGATTTTTATTTTCTGACAGATTCAGATTTTAAATCTTTGTGTTCTACATTCAAACACTTTTAATTCCAGTTTGGTGAAGTTGACGCCCGTTTTATTCACGTCGCAACTAAATTTTTATTCCCCTAAAATATACGTGATTTCACCCCCGACCCCCGACCCCCGACCCCGACCCCCGACCCCGCATACATCATAACATAAAATAAATTATAAGTTTGTTTAGAGGAGAGAGGCTGAATCGTGAGGCTGGGGACCGTCTTTTTGGTGAGACTTTGATACACAAAATATGAAGAAGTACCGTCGGGAAAAGTGGAACTAAAACAGGGAAAATACGTCGGTAATTTACTACAAAACCTTTTTTTTTTTTGTTTTGTTTCTACAAGTTTGTGGTGAAAGAAAATTCTGAATCTAAACTTGGAGGAAGAGAAACAAACAAACTCGAACGAGCGGGTAAAATGTTTGAACCTGAGGACTGGAGCGAGACACGGGATCTGAAATCATCTGAAATCATCTGAAATCATCTGAAATTAAATATGAATTTGCATCCAAAAAACTACATTTCCTACCAGTGAGGGTCAAAGCAAATCAAAATCCCCAAATATTTCCTCCACCAGTGAAAGTGAGTGAATAATTCTTGGAAAAAGGTGGAAAAACGTGTCCGCCATTATTGTTGTAGTTTTTTGGGTGGGCCCTTTATTCATCCACACAGATTACTTCATGTCCAATGTCGGCCATGTTTGTAGTTTTTTGGGTCGCTCGGCCCACTTTGATTTTACTCGTGACGTGACGAATGAAAACGTGTAAGAAAGCTAGAATATGGCCGCCATTTTTGTAGTTTAAGTTCCACAATAATTCTAAATGTTGAAAAAAAAAAAGAGAAATTTTCTTGGTTTTCGTCACATGCCTCAACAGAATTCCCAAATATTTTCACACACATTTGTCCCATTCTCCTTCACAACAGTGACATCAACAAAAACTAATTCAAAACTCAAACCGCCATATTTGTAGTTTCTTAAGTTCCTCCGTCGCCTCGTGTCGTCCCACGAAGCCTCTCGCTCTGAACTTACTGGAAATCTAAATGAAAAGCTCTGAAACTGTAGAAAACGGAGCGAAGGTGGTGGGATGTGTCCTCCATGTTTGTTGTTTTCATGCTTCTTCCAAAAACTCTCCAATCGAACGCCTTCGTCTCTTTTGTCTCTTTTGAAAGTGTGAACCTTAAAACGACGAGTTCCAAACGCGAAAACGGGAGCAGAGAAGTCAGATGCGTTAGAATGCTTTCAGTTTGTTTTATTGGGAGCTCCTCCTCCTCCTCGGGCGGTTCCTGCCGGTTCCTCCGGGGGGATCAGGAACATTCTTCTCCGATGCGCTGGCAGGACCGACCCACTTTACGGTCCAGTTTGACCATCTTCAGGACGGCCTCCTCGCGCCCGCGCCCCAAGTGATCGAAGAGGCAGTCGTGTTGCTCCGGGAGACGATGCAGCATGCAGAACACGTAACCTACGAAATATACATATACACACATTGTAGGAGCTATTTGCTTATTTTGTTGATTCTAAAATTTGTTTATTATTTTTGTTTGTTAATTAGTTTACTCATTTAGTTGTGTTAATGTGTATAATATATTTTTGCTGTGTTAATATTATTCTTGCTACTTTCTTAGTCTAAGTTGGTATTATTTACGTTAGCACCTCTTTTTTGTTTGTGGTTTAACTGGGGTCACCTAGGGGATAAAGGAGGGTGGTACACGTAGACCAGAGTGACCTGGGTGGACCTGTGGTCACGAGGAGAAGCAGCAGGAGTCGCCTCAAACATATTTTCCTTGTTGTTTGCCCAAACTGGAAAATAAACCTTGGAAAATCATCTTTTGTCATGGACATTGATTTGTGCTGCGTAAACCACAAACCCACGGTGCCAAAGGTTCTGTTTAGTTCTGAGTTTGCCCACGCTTTTGTTTGTTACTTTTATTTCACAAATAGTCACTACAGCAGTAAAAACCTTGCCCTTGGACCTTCAGGACGATTCATTGGATCGATATCAAGTGGATTATTGTGGATTAATGCGCGGATGGCAGCGTAAAGTTTGTTTGATTCATGCCTTTGTTCTCCGGACAGCGTCAGCGGGAAAGTTGCCTCTACCTTTAAACGCTCTCTCCTCCTCTCAAAAGTCAATGGTATGTGTAATATGATTACTAATGCTGTAAAGGAAAACGGCCAAACTATTGGAGTTTGATGATAGTGATTTATATTTATATTTATATTACATACAAGTCGTCAAAACGGAGATGAATCAAAGCTGGATTCATGTGCAGCACCTTTACGCACCACTAGTAACACGTAACAAGTTGGAAAGAAAGAAATGTTTGGAAAAAAGGTGTTGTTGCTGTGTGCCCATTGTAATTTGAATTGTGGATCTTGAACAAAAGAAACTCACAACTGATTAAAAATGTCGAACGTTTCAAAAGTGCAAACAGCTGTGGAAAATGAGCCGCAAGTGTCTGGCAAAAGGAGCCTCAAATTTACGCCCAAAGGTCTGAGCCTTAGAATGCAAACTTGCCAAGAAAAACAGAAAGGAAAATGCAAACAAGCAAAAAGACTGATGGAGGATTTGAACATATTAATGAAATCAAAGCATAATGCAAATTCAGTGATGTCACTTCTCAACGTGTTCGTTCAATTCCAGCAAGACGCACAAAGTGCACATGATGCGTTCACTAATCTGCCGTTACCTTTCGGATGAACTCTCAACACAAAATGAATATTTTGCAAATAAAATGAGTACTTACTGTGAATTTGTTGAGTGTGTCAAGAGCTGGTTGACTGATCTGGGTCTTTCTTTTGTGCCGCCATCAAATACGGATAATAATCAAAATGTGGATGACTTGGGTCCAGAGGACAGTGCCTCAAATTTGTGCTTTGAAAAGTCCAGTGTGTCAAAGACGCTCTCAAACCTCCACTGTGTCCATGCGCCTCAAAGCAGAGGCCGACAAAGCAGCGCTACTGGAACGTGTCGCAGCTCTGAATACAAAACATGAAATTGAGGCACGGGAGGAAAAAATAAAAATCGAAAGTGAAAAATTGAAAAGGCAAAAGGAACAACTCGAACTTCAAACACAACTCGCTGCTGCAAATGCTAAGCTCCGTGTTTTGGACAACAGTTCTTCTCAATGTGGCTCCAAAAACTCCAAAATTTCCAATGGCATGAACTCGTATGTCACTAAAGCAATGCAATTAAATCCATGTGCAGACGCATTTATGCCTGAGCAAAAAGACAATCCCAATGTGCACGTTACCACCACAGTGCAACCACAAGTCGTTCGCTCCAAACAAAACTTCAGTAAAAATGTGTCTCAAAATAAAAATGATTGTTGCACACAAATTGCTCAACCCATTTCATCTGATGAGTTTCAAACACAGCCGCAAATAAATAATTCACCAAATATAATGGACATAATGCAAAGACAAAATGACATCACTGCCCTACTGGTCCAGCAAAATGTGAGCTCAGTACTGCCCCCTCCAAATATCCCTGTTTTGATGGAGACCCTCTCCAGTATCAATCTTTTATAAGAGCATTTGAAAATGGTGTGGAAGCAAAGACAACAGATTTGAGTGACTGTCTGCACTTTCTCCAACAATACACCAGGGGGCAGCCGAGAGACCTTGTTCACAGTTGTCAGCACCTACCTGCAGAACAGGACTATTACAGAGCCAAACATCTTCTGCTGAGCATTTTGGTAATGAACATAAAATTGCACATGGATATATGGAAAAGATTAATAACTGTCCATCAATTAAAAGTGAAGACATTGAAGCACTACAGTCTTTCACTGTTCCTCAAATGATGCTCAAACTTAACTGAACATATTGCTCACATGAAAGAACTGGATGTGCCAACAAATATGAGAAATATCATTCTAAAGCTTCCTTACAAACTAAGGGAAAGATGGCGGTGTGTGGCTTGTGAGCTCCAAGAGAGGAGGGGTCAAAGAGCACTGCTCACTGATCTTGTTGCATTCATTGAAAAACAGGTCAAAATTGCATCTGATCCACTTTTTGGCAATATTCAAGATCCACAGCGCGTCACATCCAAAACCTCCAATAGCAGAAAACAAAGGAAAAAGAGTTTTGCCACCAATGTCACAGCTGTAAACAAATTCACAACAAATAAAGTGAAATCTTCTGTCAATTCTGTATGTTTATTCTGCTCAGTGAACAATCACACTCTGGAAAAGTGCTTTAAATTTAAAGAAAAGACACATAAAGACAAAGTGAACTTTATTAAAGAAAAGGGAATCTGTTTTGTTTGTCTGAAAACTGGTCACATAAGTAAAGAAAGCAAAAATGGAATGGAGTGTTCTGTACGCCGTCAAAGACACCCAAATGTTCTTCACATTGACAATGATACTGCATCCCTCAAGCGCCGCCTGTCACCAGCTCCACCACCTCTACAATGACTCAAACCTGTGGCCATATTGGGGCCGGTGACCAAGACCAATCTGTCCTGTCTATTGTTGCTGTCCAAGTCAGGAGCCAAAGCACAAGTGCACCAGTGCAGACATACGCCTTCCTGGATCCAGGCAGTACCGGCACATTTTGCACAGAAAGTCTGTCAAGGAAACTGAATGTAAAAGGCAAAAAGGCATGTATTCTGCTGCGAACAATGGGGCATAAAAGCATTGTGAATACAAATATTATTTCTGGACTTGAAATTGCTGCACTTAATGAAAATGAGTTCACTGAGCTTCCTGATGTGATGACACAGAAGTCAATGCCTGTTTCAAGATGTAATGTCCCACAGCAAGAAGATGTAGACAAGTGGCCATACCTGAAAAATGTTCAGCTCCACCACATTAATGCTGAAGTTGAATTGCTTATTGGTACTGATGCAGCCAAAGTGATGGAGCCGTGGGAGCTAATCAACAGCCAGGGGGACGGGCCCTATGCTGTTCGGACCCGAGTTGGATGGGTCATTAATGGTCCACTTCGTGGTGAGGGCAAAGGCAAGATTGGCTTTTCTGCTGTCAGTGCAAATAGAATCTCTGTGGAACATCTTGAGAACATGCTGGTTCAACAATACAATCATGGTTTCAATGAAAAAACATCACAAGAGCAAAAGGAAATGTCCAGGGAAGAAATGAAGTTGATGAATATAATGAACAGTTCTGCAGCACTGATTGATGGACATTACTGTGTAGATCTGCCGTTTAAATGTCAATTTACCACAGAACCGCTGTATTGCAGAGCAACGTCTTCAAAGTCTGAAAAGAAAGTTTGACAAAAATGAATCCTTCAGAGGAGAGGACACTTCTTTTGTTGAGGACATGATTTGTAATGGATATGCTGAACTGGTACCTGATGATCTGCTGATGGACAATGAGGGGACAGTGTGGTATATTCCACATCATGGTGTTTATCACCCCAGAAAAAACAAGTTGAGAGTTTTCTTTGATTGTGCTGTGACTTATAAGGGGACCTCACTTAACAGTCGGCTTCTGCAGGGGCCAGATCTGACAAACTCTGTGGTGGGAGTTCTTCTGCGCTTCAGACAAGAGCCTATAGCTCTCATGGCAGATATCCAGGCCATGTACCATCAGGTCTACGTCCCAGAGCAACAGAGAAATGTCTTGCGCTTCCTCTGGTGGCCTAAAGGTGACACTACATTGCCTCCAAAAGAATATCGCATGAAAGTTCACTTGTTTGGAGCTGTGTCCTCACCAAGCTGTGCAAATTATGCTCTAAGGAGAACAGCAGAAGACAATGTTCCTCACTTTCCACCTGAAGTTGTTGCCACAGTGAAACATAATTTTTATGTGGATGATTGTCTAAAATCTCTGCCCACAGAAGGAGAAGCTATAAAAATGGTTCAAGATTTGACAGCTCTCTGCAGTAAAGGCGGATTCAAACTTTCAAAGTGGGTCAGCAATAGCCGTGCAGTGCTGCACACAGTTTCAGCCAGTAACAAAGCAAAAGAAATACTGGAAATGGATTTGGATGGAGATGAGCTCCCAGTGGAGCGAGCACTGGGGCTCCAGTGGTGCACTGAAAGTGACACATTAAAGTTCAAATCATCACTTCAAGATCAGCCACACCTGCAGCTTCACATCAAGGAGGCGTCTGGGAGCAGCTGATTCGTTCAGTCAGAAATGTGCTCACTTCAATCCTCAAGCAGCAGATTGTGGATGATGAAGTTCTCCAAACAGTGTTCTGTGAAGCCGAGGCCATTTTGAATGACAGACCTGTAACACCAGTCTCTGATGATCCAGGTGATCTAGAAGCCCTCACACCAAATCACATCCTAACATTAAAGGGCAAATCTGTCATGTCACCTGGTCTGTTTGAAAGGGAAGACTTGTACTTGAAGAAAAGGTGGAGACAAGTGCAATACATGACAGAAATATTCTGGAAACGATGGATCTCTGAGTACTTACCAATCATGCAGGAAAGACAGAAGTGGATAAGGCCGAGAAGAAACATCTGTCCTGGAGACATTGTGTTGGTCGCTGGCAGATGGGAAGAGTCCTGGCAGTAAACACTGACTCAAGAGGCCTGGTTCACTCAGCGCAGATCAAGACCAAAACCAGTGAGTTGGAGAAACCAGTGACCAAACTCTGTCTGCTGCTGGAAGCGGCTGTGGACTCAAATTAAACTCAAACCTCTGTGTGTCTCTATTCTGCATCCTGTGCTCCGTCTGTCATGTTCTCTTGCAGGTTTATCAGAAGAAAGAAGAAAAAAATTCAGCTAAGGCTAATGCATCACACATATCTAATACTGACACCGTTTTAGAACAGCTCCTAGTTCAGTTGACTGGTAATTGTGATTTAATGCACAATTAGGGGCCGGAGTGTAGGAGCTATTTGCTTATTTTGTTGATTCTAAAATTTGTTTATTATTTTTGTTTGTTAGTTAGTTTACTAATTTAGTTTTGTTAATGTGTATAATATATTTTTGCTGTGTTAATATTATTCTTGCTAATTTCTTAGTCTAAGTTGGTATTATTTACGTTAGCACCTCTTTTTTGTTTGTGGTTTAATTCGAGTCACCTAGGGGATAAAGGAGGGTGGTACACGTAGACCAGAGTGACCTGGGTGGACCTATGGTTTTTTACCAGTCACGAGGAGAAGCAGCAGGAGTCGCCTCAAACATATTTTCCTTGTTGTTTGCCCAAACTGGAAAATAAACCTTGGAAAATCATCTCTTGTCATGGACATTGATTTGTGCTGCGTAAACCACAAACCCACGGTGCCAAAGGTGATTATCTGAGTTATGTTTAGTTCTGAGTTTGTCCACGCTTTTGTTAGTTACTTTTATTTGACAAATAGTCACTACACACATTATATATATACATATATACACATTATACATACACATATACATGTACACACATTATATATACATATATACATGTAATATACACGATGCAGCATGCAGAACACGTATCCTAACACACACACTTGAACACTTTCGTACAAATACAGATACTGTAAAATACCAAATAATATCCGGGGCGTTTATTTGTCACTTAACAGACCAGGCTTTTATTTGAGACCAGGCTTTTATTTGAGACCAGGCTTTTATTTGAGACCAGGCTTTTATTGGGAAATGGGAGTTTGAGCCACAACCACTGCGTCAGACTCGACTGCACGAGACTCGACTCTGTGTCAGACTCGACTCTGTGTTTATTTAAAAAATTTATCAAAATCTACAAAGCAGCTGTGTGAGTTTAAAGTGACTCAGCAGTTCATTGAAACCTAGATGTTTTTTGGTATTTTACAGTACACAGGTACATTTGTACACATGAATACTTCAATATTTCAATACTTGTATATTTGTGTGTACAGTTGTGTATATTTGTATATATTTGTGTGCATTTGTATATATTTGTGTGTATTTGTATATATTTGTGTGTATTTGTGTATATTTGTGTGTATATTTGTGTGTATATTTGTGTGTATTTGTATATATTTGTGTGTATATTTGTGTATATTTGTGTGTGTGTATATTGTGTATATTTGTGTGTATATTTGTGTGTACAGTTGTGTATATTTGTGTGTATATTTGTGTGTACAGTTGTGTATATATTTGTGTGTATATTTGTGTTGTGTGTATATTTGTATATATTTGTGTGTGTATATTTGTGTATATTTGTGTGTATATTTGTGTTGTGTGTATAGTTGTGTGTACAGTTGTGTGTATAGTTGTGTGTATAGTTGTGTGTATAGTTGTGTGTACAGTGTGTTGTGTATAGTTGTGTGTATAGTTGTGTGTACAGTTGTGTGTACAGTTGTGTGTATAGTTGTGTGTATAGTTGTGTGTACAGTTGTGTGTACAGTTGTGTGTATATTGTGTGTATAGTGTGTGTGTGTATAGTTGTGTGTTATAGTTTGTGTGTATAGTTGTGTGTACAGTTGTGTGTACAGTTGTGTGTAGTTGTGTGTATAGTTGTGTGTACAGTTGTGTGTACAGTTGTGTGTAGTTGTGTGTGTATAGTTGTGTGTACAGTTGTGTGTACAGTTGTGTGTATATTGTGTGTGTGTGTATAGTTGTGTGTTAGTTGTGTGTATAGTTGTGTGTATAGTTGTGTGTACAGTTTGTGTGTACAGTTGTGTGTGTGTACAGTTTGTGTGTACAGTTGTGTGTGTGTAGTTGTGTGTACAGTTGTGTGTAGTTGTGTGTACAGTTGTGTGTACAGTTGTGTGTACAGTTTGTGTGTACAGTTGTGTGTATAGTTGTGTGTACAGTTGTGTATAGTTGTGTGTATATTTGTGTGTACAGTGTGTGTATGTGTGTTACAGTTGTGTGTACAGTTGTGTGTAGTTGTGTGTACAGTTGTGTGTACAGTTGTGTGTACAGTTGTGTGTGTATAGTTGTGTGTACAGTTGTGTGTACATGTGTGTTGTGTGTACAGTTGTGTGTATAGTTGTGTGTACAGTTGTGTGTACAGTTGTGTGTAGTTGTGTGTACAGTTGTGTGTATAGTTGTGTGTACAGTTGTGTGTACAGTTGTGTGTACAGTTGTGTGTATAGTTGTGTGTACAGTTGTGTGTGTGTATAGTTGTGTGTATAGTTTGTGTGTAGTTGTTGTGTACAGTTGTGTGTATATTTGTGTGTACAGTGTGTGTATAGTTGTGTGTATAGTTTGTGTGTACAGTTGTGTGTACAGTTGTGTGTATAGTTGTGTGTACAGTTGTGTGTATAGTTGTGTGTATAGTTGTGTGTATAGTTGTGTGTATAGTTGTGTGTACAGTTGTGTGTACAGTTGTGTGTATAGTTGTGTGTACAGTTGTGTGTACAGTGTAGTTGTGTGTATAGTTGTGTGTACAGTTGTGTGTATAGTTGTGTGTGTGTACAGTTGTGTGTACAGTTGTGTGTACAGTTGTGTGTATATTTGTGTGTACAGTTGTGTGTATAGTTGTGTGTATAGTTGTGTGTACAGTTGTGTGTACAGTTGTGTGTATAGTTGTGTGTATAGTTGTGTGTAGTGTGTGTGTGTATAGTTGTGTGTGTAGTTGTGTGTACAGTTGTGTGTACAGTTGTGTGTACAGTTGTGTGTATAGTTTGTGTGTATAGTTGTGTGTACAGTGTGTGTGTGTGTATAGTTGTGTGTACAGTTGTGTGTACAGTTGTGTGTATAGTTGTGTGTATAGTTGTGTGTGTGTACAGTTGTGTGTACAGTGTGTGTACAGTTGTGTGTAGTTGTGTGTACAGTTGTGTGTATAGTTGTGTGTACAGTTGTGTGTACAGTTGTGTGTATAGTTGTGTGTACAGTTGTGTGTACAGTTGTGTGTATAGTTGTGTGTATAGTGTGTGTGTGTAGTTGTGTGTACAGTTGTGTGTATATTGTGTATAGTTGTGTGTAGTTGTGTGTACAGTTGTGTGTATAGTTGTGTGTATAGTTGTGTGTACAGTTGTGTGTATAGTTGTGTGTATAGTTGTGTGTACAGTTGTGTGTATAGTTGTGTGTATAGTTGTTAGTTGTGTGTACAGTTGTGTGTACAGTTGTGTGTACAGTTGTGTGTATAGTTGTGTGTGTATAGTTGTGTGTATAGTTGTGTGTATAGTTGTGTGTACAGTTGTGTGTAGTTGTGTGTATAGTTGTGTGTTAGTTGTGTGTATAGTTTGTGTGTATAGTTGTGTGTACAGTTGTGTGTACAGTTGTGTGTATAGTGTGTAGTTGTGTGTATAGTTGTGTGTGTATAGTTGTGTGTATAGTTGTGTGTACAGTTGTGTGTATAGTTGTGTGTATAGTTGTGTGTAGTTGTGTGTACAGTTGTGTGTATAGTTGTGTGTAGTTGTGTGTACAGTTGTGTGTATAGTTGTGTGTATAGTTGTGTGTACAGTTGTGTGTACAGTTGTGTGTATAGTTGTGTGTATAGTTGTGTGTATAGTTGTGTGTACAGTTGTGTGTACAGTTGTGTGTATAGTTGTGTGTATAGTTGTGTGTATAGTTGTGTGTATAGTTGTGTGTACAGTTGTGTGTATATTTGTGTGTACAGTTGTGTGTACAGTTGTGTGTACAGTTGTGTGTATAGTTGTGTGTACAGTTGTGTGTATAGTTGTGTGTATAGTTGTGTGTACAGTTGTGTACAGTTGTGTGTAGTTGTGTGTACAGTTGTGTGTGTAGTTGTGTGTATAGTTGTGTGTACAGTTGTGTGTATAGTTGTGTGTACAGTTGTGTGTATAGTTGTGTGTACAGTTGTGTGTATTTGTTCGTACCACAGCGACAGGAGCCCAGCTCCTGCTGCACCAGCTCCAGTTTGGTTTGGCAGCGGAAACAGCGTCTGCGGTTCTTCTGTTTGGGAGTAGAACCTTCAACCCCGTCGTCCTTCTCCTCCGTCCGAGAACGTTTCTGTGGAGTCACCTCCCCGTCTGTGTCCGAGGCTGAAGAGGACGACACCGCCGCGGTCAGAAACAAAAACACAACCGGGGTCAGAAACCAGAGGAGGAGGAGAGAGGGACAGAGAGGAGAGGAGGTTCCTTACCCGACTCTCGTGGGCGTTTGGTGGGGGTACAGAGGGTGCCCTGGGCTGTGTCTGTGGATGAAGCTCCTGAAACACAACAGAGAAAAAGACCTTCAGAAGAGACCTTCAGAGACCTTCAGAGACCTCAGAGACCTCAGAGACCTCAGAGACCTTCAGAGACCTTCAGAGACCTCCAGAGACCTCAGAGACCTTCAGAGACCTTCAGAGAGACCTCAGAGACCTCAGAGACCTCAGAGACCCTCAGAGACCTTCAGAGACCTTCAGAGACCTTCAGAGACCCTCAGAGACCTCAGAGACCTTCAGAGACCTTCAGAGACCTTCAGAGACCTTCAGAGACCTTCAGAGACCTCAGAGACCTCAGAGACCTCAGAGACCTTCAGAGACCTTCAGAGACCTTCAGAGACCTTCAGAGACCTTCAGAGACCTCAGAGACCTCAGAGACCTCAGAGACCTCAGAGACCTTCAGAGACCCTCAGAGACCTCAGAGACCTTCAGAGACCTCAGAGACCCTCAGAGACCTCAGAGACCTTCAGAGACCTTCAGAGACCTTCAGAGACCTTCAGAGACCTCAGAGACCTCAGAGACCTCAGAGACCTTCAGAGACCTTCAGAGACCTTCAGAGACCTTCAGAGACCTTCAGAGACCTTCAGAGACCTTCAGAGACCCTCAGAGACCTCAGAGACCTCAGAGACCTTCAGAGACCTTCAGAGACCTCAGAGACCCTCAGAGACCTTCAGAGACCTTCAGAGACCCTCAGAGACAGAGACCTTCAGAGACCTTCAGAGACCTTCAGAGACCTTCAGAGACCTTCAGAGACCTCAGAGACCTCAGAGACCTTCAGAGACCTTCAGAGACCCTCAGAGACCTCAGAGACCTCAGAGACCTTCAGAGACCTCAGAGACCTCAGAGACCTCAGAGACCTCAGAGACCTCAGAGACCTCAGAGACCTTCAGAGACCTCAGAGACCTCAGAGACCTCAGAGACCTCACAGACCTCAGAGACCTCAGAGACCTCAGAGACCTTCAGAGACCTTCAGAGTTCAGGTCTTTCTGTCTGGAGTTGTACAGTTGTTTCCTGTCAGAGTGACACTGGGGCAACAGTGAAAATAAAACTCACAACAGGAAATTTTAAAAAAGAAGGTAGAAGGTGATGAGACGCCTGTTTAACCTCCTCAGAGACGCCACAGACGGACGTTCTCACCGTGTCACTGTGACGTGTTGAGTTCAAATCAGCTTCTACATGATAATCAATTCAAACGTGAACGTCCCAAACCAAACGTGGGTTTTGTTTATGTCTTTTTACTGTTTTTCCTGAAGTGACACACATTTTTTCACCCTGTAACATCAATATAATCCTCATTCTCACAGAAATCCCCATTTTAAATCCTTGTTTCTTGTTCCTCGTGTTCTCTGAATCTAAGTTACATCGTCTGGAACTGTTGATGTGAGAAGAAATCTTCATCTCCTCACCTGTCGTCAACGTCATTTATGAGCAGCGCAACATGAGACTTAAAAAACTACAGAACCTGTTCAGAAATCTGAACTCTGTATTTCATTTAAATCTGTCAGATCAAATCCTGCAGTCGTCGTGTCCCTCAGTCCTGCTCCTCGGGAGGAAACGTCCCGCTCCTCGGGAGGAAACGTCCCGCTCCTCGGAGGAAACGTCCCGCTCCTCGGGAGGAAACGTCCCGCTCCTCGGGAGGAAACGTCCCGCTCCTCGGGGGAAACGTCCCGCTCCTCGGGAGGAAACGTCCCGCTCCTCGGGAGGAAACGTCCCGCTCCTCGGGAGGAAACGTCCCGCTCCTCGGGAGGAAACGTCCCGCTCAGGTGAAGCGTCTCCAGCTCCACCTGCTCTTACACCACTCACACGTCTCAAACCGTCATCGACACACAAAACAGGGACTTTTTTACACACTCAGACTCTCTCCACCGACACGACCCCGACTCCAAGACTTTAAACTCCGCCCACTCCTCACAGACGCACAGTGACACAAACAGATTAAACCCAAACAATGTCCATTCTACACACTCCATTCCTCCACTCTCTCTGAGCTCAGAGCGGGGATCACAGCAGGGGTCACACTCACCTTCCCTGGAGCCGAGCGGAGACTCCGGAGCGGCCGACGCCTCGGAGGCGGAGCCGGGCTGTGAGGAGGGCGACGTGGAGCTGATGGAGGAGGAGGAAGAGGGGGAGGAGGAGGAGGGAGAGGAGGAAGAGGGGGAGGAGGGGGAGGAGGGGCTGGGGTCTGCGCTGAACACAGCTCCTCCTCCAGAGCTCTGCAGGGGCTTCGAACTGCACTCCTCCCCCGGCTGCTTCTTCTGGATGTCTGCAAGACCAAGACCAAGAAGAAGGAGAAGAAGAAGAAGAGTCTGATGTGAGAAGAGACCAGGACTAAAAAATAGGACTAAAACACAGCAAAAAACTGGACTAAAACAAGGCTAAAACAGGTCTAAGACAGGTTTAAGACAGGTTTAAAACAGGTCTAAGATGGGTCTAAAACAGGGACAAAACAGGCCTGAAACTGGCCTGAAACTGGACTAAAATTGGGCCAAAACAGAGCCAAAAGTGGCCTAAAACTTACCTAAAACTGGTCTAAAACTGGTCTAAAACTACTTTAAAACTGGTCTAAAACTGGTCTAAAACTGGTCTAAAACTACTTTAAAACTGGTCTAAAACTGGTCTAAAACTGGTCTAAAACTGGCAGACAAGACCCTGGAGGAAAATGCTGCTGTGCCTGATGTTTTGAAGTCGTTTCTTGTTTAGTTTTGTGATTGACGTGTGTCAGAGACTCACCAGCGAAGCACTTGGAGCAGAGGTTCATGGTTTTACTGGATCTGAGGACACAGACGAGATGACGTTAGGATCAAACACTAAACACTTTTACACACTTCTGCTCTTTGTGTGTTTCAGACTCTGACAGAATTCATGAAGACGCTGAAACTGTGACAGAGTTGAACCTTTGGCCTTCACAAGACACGAGAACGACAAAAAGAAAAATCTAAACTAATTTATCCAACGAACAGAACAAATCTAAACCAGGATTATCCCCAAAACAAGACTGGAAATGTCAAATATTCTATTATTAAATATTTGGATTATTATAAAAAAAAAAAAAAAAAACACAAACTGACATGTCATTTTACTAATATAATCTGAAAACAGGTCTAAACCAGGTCTAAAATAGGACTAAACCAGGACTAAACCAGGTCTAAAATAGGACTAAACCAGGACTAAACCAGGTCTAAAATAGGACTAAAATAGGACTAAACCAGGTCTAAACCAGGTCTAAAATAGGACTAAACCAGGACTAAACCAGGTCTAAACCAGGTCTAAAATAGGACTAAACCAGGACTAAACCAGGTCTAAAATAGGACTAAACCAGGACTAAACCAGGTCTAAACCAGGTCTAAACCAGGTCTAAAAATAGGACTAAAATAGGACTAAACCAGGACTAAACCAGGACTAAACCAGGACTGAACCAGGACTGAACCAGGACTAAACCAGGACTAAACCAGGACTAAACCAGGTCTAAACCAGGTCTAAAATAGGACTAAAATAGGACTAAACCAGGACTAAACCAGGACTGAACCAGGACTGAACCAGGACTAAACCAGGACTAAACCAGGTCTAAACCAGGTCTAAAATAGGACTAAACCAGGTCTAAACCAGGACTGAACCAGGACTAAAGTTGTACAGTAGATTGTGTTTGTGTTTCCAGAGCGAACACACTCACAAAACTCTCAAGTGTGTATTTAAACTCCTCCAACAGCCCCTGTCGATGTGTGTGTGTGTGTGTGACAGGAGCGCAGCACCTGCCGCTGACAGGTGGCCTCAGAACAGGAGGGTTTTGTGGACACAGCAAACGGAGACAACTGGAGCCGCGGCGGGGGGAGGGGCTCAACACGGAGACGCACACACACACACACACACACACACACACACACACACACACAGATACTAACACATGACGACAGGGAGAATATCTCACTGTACTAAAGACCCAAGAGATTCTCCTGAACACGACAAACACGAGGAAACTCTGAGCCACAGGAACATTGAACTCACTAATATCTCTGTTTATTTTACTATTTTATATTTATATTGTTTTATTTAACTAATTATATTTGTCACCAGGGCTCAGATCAGTAAGAAGTTGCTGATACGATCCAAACCTCGATGCAGTGAACTTCGATATATTTCACATTTACTCCGTACGATTATTTGAACCTGTTATTGTCGTACACAGTAAAAGTCCCCAGGATAAATATGGCCCTGAGTTGTGATTCTGTGGCTCGTGTTTTAAACGTTTGTGGATGGAGTGATTATGGAAACAAACCTGAACTTGAAGAGTGGAGCTGGAATCAAAATAAGTTGAAGATACAATACAAACCTCGATACACAGGCTACGATACCAGGGTTTCCCCAGGTCTGACCGCCCCGAATTAAAGACTTTTTAACGACCTTTTTAAAACCACTTAAATGAAAAGTAAGACCAACATCACAGCCAGTATGTGGGCAAAAAACACCAGATCCAGTTCTAATAATGACCAACCAACGACTGCAGCTAGAATCTAAGAGTCACTGTGGGTTAAACCGACACTTCCCCATGATCCATCCAGCGTCTTATTCCACTCTAACCCTAACCCAAGTATTTGTTACATGATTTTACGTTGTTGTTGTTGTTGTTGTTTTTCCTCCCCGTTTATCGTTGCACTGCAGTCCGGTTGAGTAAACAAAAAACAGGCTAATGAAATGTAAGACCTTTGTGAAAAAAATAAGACTTGGAACAAAATGTAAGACTTTTTAAGGCCTTAATTTAGGAACATGAAACTTAAGACCATTTTAAGACTTTTAAGACCCTGCGGCTGCCCTGGATACAGATCTCGATACGATATATTTCAGATCGATTCGATATGGTTCAATAAACTAAAGTGTTAATCATATTTGTGACACTAAAAGTTTTTGTTAAACTGTAAAGTTCATCTGAAACACAAATATTTAAATCATCAAAACAGAGGAAATGTCAAACGTGTCGCAGAAACAAGTTTTCTTCCTCTGAACAAACAACAAAACTGAAACTGGAACTAAAACATTTAATAAAATAAACCAAAAAATCCTCACAACAGAACACGACCTCGATACAACAGAACACGACCTCCACACAACAGAACACGACCTCCACACAACAGAACACGACCTCGATACAACAACAGAACACGACCTCCATACAACAGAACACGACCTCCATACAACAGAACACGACCTCCATACAACAGAACACGACCTCCATACAACAGAACACGACCTCCACACAACAGAACACGACCTCCACACAACAGAACACGACCTCCATACAACAGAATCATCACTTTATACCAAACTATAGATTCATGTTTTTGCACTCTCTTATCCGCGGCTCCGAGGTCCCTGCAGATCTGCAGCTCAAACCAACCGTTTCCAAACACTATTGTCCAAGTTCTACTGCAGCAGATTATTAATTTATCATTTCTCTTCTGCATAAATAGATTTTACATGAATAAACTTAACGACTCTAGAGCCACATCAGTTTGACATTAGAATGAGTTTAATCCAGTTTTGTCACATTTGTTTAGGTTTTACAGAAACTAAACTTAAACCCACACGGTTTATTTGTATAAACTGACTCCTTGTTGCAGTGAAGAGCAGGACGAGCACAGAGACAAACAAGAGCAGCAGTGAAATCAGAATCAACTGTAAACATCAGATCAGTGTAAACGACACATCAGAGTCCAGTCTGTGTTTAAAAAGAAACTCAATATATTTTAAATATGGAGATATGGTCCTGACCTGATCCTGACCTGGTCCAGACCTGTGACTCCTGTGTCTGAATCACTTCTCTGTGGAACAGTAAAGTTTGTCTCAGTCTAAGAGTTTAAGAGTAAGAGTCAGGAGCACACACACTTCACTCAGAGACACCGGGAGTTTAACCCACAACCTCCTCACTGAGGGGACACAGGACAACCACCCTGCCACCATCACCTTCAAACGTGCTCCTCAAAAACCCAACTCCTGCTTCATTTTAGAAACACAAACGAAACAAAACACAACTCCAGAGTCCCCTTCCAGAGTCCCTCCACAGTTTCCACAGTTCCTCCACAGTTCCCCCACAGTTCCCTCCACAGTTCCCCCACAGTTCCTCCACAGTTCCTCCACAGTTCCTCCACAGTTCCCCCACAGTTCCCCACAGTTCCCCACAGTTCCCCCACAGTTCCCCACAGTTCCCCACAGTTCCTCCACAGTTTCCCTCCCCCACAGTTCCCCTACAGTTCCTCCACAGTTCCCCCACAGTTCCCCCACAGTTCCCCCACAGTTCCTCCAGAGTTCCCTCCACAGTTCCCCACAGTTCCTCCAGAGTTCCTCCACAGTTTCCCCCACAGTTCCTCCAGAGTCCCTCCAGAGTCCCTCCACAGTTCCTCCACAGTTCCCCCACAGTTCCTCCACAGTTCCCCCACAGTTCCCCCACAGTTCCTCCAGAGTTCTCCGTGCAGACGTTTGATGGATCTCTGGTCATTCAGAGTCACGTTTCTTTTATAAATAACTCGGTGAGACGGAGACGCTCGTTTTAACACATGTGAGTGTGACCCAGGAGACACACGAGGACGTCTGAGTCTGAGCTGCACGTTTGGTCTCGTTACAAGATCTGTCATCAACCGATCCACCGGGTTTGAGAAGACACTGGAAACATGAACACGGAGGACTAAAAGAGGACGAAAACAGGTCTAAAAGAGGTCCAAAACTGGTCTAAAACTGGTCTAAAACTGATCTAAAAACTGGTCTAAAACTGGTCTAAAACTGATCTAAAACAGGGAAGTGTTTAAAGGCGAACACATGTGACACGAGTAGAAACATCCTTAAAACTTTCACACCTGTTTGCACAACGAGATGTTCAACTTTTTCATTCACATCAGATCAAATCCAAGTCTTTATATGCACTAAACCAGGACTAAACCAGGACTAAACCAGGACTAAACCAGGACTAAACCAGGACTAGAACAGGACTAGAACAGGACTAGAACAGGACTAGAACAGGACTAGAACAGGACTGAACCAGGACTAAACCAGGACTAAACCAGGACTAAACCAGGACTAAACCAGGTCTAAACCAGGACTAAACCAGGTCTAAACCAGGTCTAAAGCAGTTGTGAATCAGGGTCAACATTGGGCCTGTGCAAAAATATTGAAACATCGACGTATCGTATCGTTTAATGTGATGATACAGGATCGATATCGTGAGCTGCTGTATTGATAAATCACCAAGATGATTTTCAGGGACTCAAAAAAGTACAAAATAATAAATAGTCCTGACATTGAACTTGATCTGCTCTGTGGTGTTAAAGGATTTTCATTATTTTGAGCCTCAGATTTTTCATCTTTGTGTTTGAGACTCGTCCTTCACTGAAAACCAACAAAAGGATCATTCTGCACAATCTGTGTACGTCCAAGTATCTCCCCTCGTGTCCTCTAAACTTTTGCAATATTTTACGACATCATTATGTGTAAAAGCTGCAGTTCTGTTCACATTTTCACTGTTTTGATGAATAAAATGTATAAACTGCACAAACTTTCAGTATCAGAGTCATAATTTAGACTTTTTTTTCACTGAAACTTCACACTAAATCAAGCTCACAGTATCGAAAAGCGTATCGTATCGTGGTCTACGTATTGAGGTTTGTATCGTATCGACAACTTCTTAACCCGATACCCGAGTCCTGGTCAACATGAAGACGAGAAAAATAAACTGGATTTGAACAAAGCCTCCGGAAACAAAGAGAAAACGTGAATAAAACATCCAAATAAAACACATCGTCCACTGTTCTTCTAATCATTTCTCCTTTCCATCACCTACAGTTCACATTTTTACAGTTTTACTGAGTAAAATTGGTGTTTTTCATATAAATTTTGCACAAAATTTCAGCATCACAAGACTTTTTTTCACTAAACTGTATCAAATCGATGTGAATTAAATCGTATCAAACATAAAGCCGACCAAAATCTGAAATAAATTCGATTTGAACCAAACCTAGTGCTGCAGAAACAAAGAAAATGTGGATAAAACGTCCAAATAAAACACTGTAAGATGCTAAATGCCCGTTGTACTTCTAATCAAATCATTTTTTACGGTTAATAACTTGAGAATAATCACGAGTAAAGTGTTTCTGCCAGTTCCTCCTTTACAACAGACGATGTTCCAGCAGCACCTTAAATCATTCACCTTATATCGATTTTATTTACCAGTGAACACCTCAAATATGGAGTTAGAGGCAAAAGCGACGCAAACTCACTCCAAAAACGACCAAAACGACGTGATAAACCAGCAGAGCATTTTAGATCTTTAGAGATCGAGTTTAGAGGTTTTGGTGCAGTTTGAGCTTGAGGTGGGTCAGAAAACAGGTTGGAGAAGAACCTGCTGGACATAAATCACTTTGCAGGAGGTGACGTACAGAGGTACCAAAGAAAAATCAAGCCAAAAGAGAGTTACATGTGTTAAAAGAGAGAAAACAGACAACTTTTTTTGAGCTACATTAAGGCAAATTCACTCCAAAACAACTAAATGATGAGATAAACCAGCAGAACATCAGGTTTAGACGACAGTTGGGTGGTTCTGGTGCAGTTGGAGCTTTAGGTGGGGTCAGAAAACAGGTTTTAGTGGAATCTGCTGTCAATAAATCACTTTAGTGTCTCGGTACGTCACCTCCTGCAAACCAAAATCAGACAAAAACCTGAATTTAAACCTGTCAGTGGAAGAAACTCTCCAAAAATAGAGTCTGATGCATTAAAAAAGTAAAAATAGGCGACTTTCTGGAACTAAGGCAGTTTACTTCCTGGTCAACTGCCCAAATTTCCAGTGAACACCTAAAATATTAAAGTTCAAGTACAAAAACGACCAAAATAAGGCAATAAACCAGCAGAGCATCGGGTTTAGAGGTCGGCCGGGTCGTTTTGGTGCAGTTTGAGCTTTAGGTGGGTCAGAAAACAGGTTGGAGAAGAACCTGCTGTCAATAAATCACTTTGCAGGAGGTGATGGAGCGAGATACCAAAGAAAAATCAAGCCAAAAGACAAATTTACACGTTTGATGTCCGGGTCAGAGGAAGAAAGTCACCAAAAACACAGTTAGACGTGTTAAAAGAGGAAAAACAGGTGAGTTTGTGGAGCTAAGGTGAGACAAGTTCACACAAAACGACCAAACGACACGATATTGACGAGCTGTTGGTTTAACTCTTAAACTCTTGACTCTGAACTTCAAATGAACTGTTTGGAATTAACTTGTGTGTACAGTGAGTGTGTGTCGTGTGTACAGTGAGTGTGTGTCGTGTTGTTGTTCCTGTCGATGATTTCACATCAACCTGAAGATGGAAATGAGTCACGCTGCTTTAATCTTTACATATTTACATATTTAATGTTCATTCATATGTGCTGTCCTTTTATAAATAAATAAGAAATCGTCTTTAGAGGTCGAGTTTAGAGGTTTTGGTGCAGTTTGAGCTTTAGGTGGGGTCAGAAAACAGGTTTTAGTGGAATCTGCTGTCAATAAATCACTTTAGTGTCTCGGTACGTCACCTCCTGCGAACCAAAATCAGACAAAAACCTGAATTTAAACCTGTCAGTGGAAGAAACTCTCCAAAAACAGAGTCTGATGCATTAAAAAAGTAAAAATAGGCGACTTTCTGGACCTAAGGCAGTTTACTTCCCGGTCAACTGCCCAAATTTCCAGTGAACACCTAAAATATTAAAGTTCAAGTACAAAAACGACCAAAATAAGGCGATAAACCAGCAGAGCATCGGGTTTAGAGGTCGGCCGGGTCGTTTTGGTGCAGTTTGAGCTTTAGGTGGGTCAGAAAACAGGTTGGAGAAGAACCTGCTGTCAATAAATCACTTTGCAGGAGGTGATGGAGCGAGATACCAAAGAAAAATCAAGCCAAAAGACAAATTTACACGTTTGATGTCCGGGTCAGAGGAAGAAAGTCACCAAAAACACAGTTAGACGTGTTAAAAGAGGAAAAACAGGTGAGTTTGTGGAGCTAAGGTGAGACAAGTTCACACAAAACGACCAAACGACACGATATTGACGAGCTGTTGGTTTAACTCTTAAACTCTTGACTCTGAACTTCAAATGAACTGTTTGGAATTAACTGTGTTCAGTGAGTGTGTGTGTGTACAGTGAGTGTGTGTGTCGTGTGTACAGTGAGTGTGTGTCGTGTGTACAGTGAGTGTGTTGGTGTTGTGTACAGTGAGTGTGTCGTGTTGTTGTTCCTGTCGATGATTTCACATCAACCTGAAGATGGAAATGAGTCACGCTGCTTTAATCTTTACATATTTACATATTTAATGTTCATTCATATGTGCCGTCCTTTTATAAATAAATAAGAAATCGTCTTTAGAGGTCGAGTTTAGAGGTTTTGGTGCAGTTGGAGCTTTAGGTGGGGTCAGAAAACAGGTTGGAGAAGAACCTGCTGTCAATAAATCACTTTGCAGGAGGTGACGTACAGAGATACCAAAGAAAAATCTGAGTTTAAACCTGTGATGTCTGTGTCAGTGGAAGAAAGTCACTAAAAACAGAGTCAGACGTATAAAAAGAGCAAAAATATTCAACTTTCTGAAGCTAAATTAAGACAAATTCAATCCAAAATGACCAAACGATGAGATAAACCAGCAGAACATCGTCTTTAGAGGTCAAGTTTAGAGGTTTTGGTGCAGTTTGAGCTTTAGGTGGGGTCAGAAAACAGGTTTTAGTGGAATCTGCTGTCAATAAATCACTTTAGTATCTCAGTACGTCACCTCCTGCAAACCAAAATCAGGCTAAAATATTAATTTAAACCTGTCAGTGGAAGAAAGTCACAAAAAACAGAGTTTGACGTTTCAAAAGAGTGAAAAGAAGGAAACTTTCTGGAGCTAAGTTGCTATCAACTCCCTAAAATGACCAGTGGACACCTCAAATATTAAGTTAGAGGCTCATAATCATTGGTAGATGGATTAAAATGTCATAAATGTGTCGAGATTTGGCTGTTGAACAGAATAAAAGTCCAGTTCCTATTGGGTTAACACGGGATCCATCACTCTCACATCCGGTATGCAACACACATTCACTACAGGACAAGACCAGGCAAAAAACACGGAAATTCACTCCGAAAACAACAAAATAAGGCGATAAACCAGCAGAGCCTCGTGTGTAGTTGTAACCCGGGTGGTTCTGGTGCAGTTGGAGCTTTAGGTGGGGTCAGAAAACAGGTTTTAGTGGAACCTGCTGGTCATAAATCACTTTAGTGTCTCGGTACGTCACCTCCTGCGAACCAAAATCACACCAAAACCTGAATATAAACCTGTCAGTGGAAGAAAGTCACCGAAAAGAGCGAGTTCAAGGTGTTAAAAGAGCGAAAATGTGCGTCTCGGTGGAGCTGAGGTGGTTTATTTATGAGTCGAGTCCCCAACCCCCCACCCGGGCCCGGACAACAGAACAACAACAATGGCCGGGGACAAGTTGGACCAGTTGGGCTCGGATCGGCTCCAGCCCGCGGGACAAAGTGCGTGGACTCACCCCCAGAAGCCGCACGGACAGCGGGGAGGCAGCGTGGAGGCTTTGCTGCGCTCGCTGGTGTCGCCCATGGCCGCGGCAGGTGCGTCAGACCCGGAGGAGCCCGTCAGGAAAACGCGAGGCTTCGGCTGCGGCCTGGGCTCTTTTCAGCGACGAAAACGATCCCGCATTCGAGCCAGGAGACCCGCGCGGACACGCAGACACGACCGGGGGGGTGGGATGCGTGACGGGAGACGGAGAAGCGGCGGGATCGAGTGGGAAAGCGCGAAAAACCGAACAAAAACGCCTAAAAAGTGGAAAAAAACGGGAGAATTGAACGGCGCTTCTCAACGCGATCAGCTGGACGACAGGACACAACAGTTCGAGGGAAATCCGGGGGGAGACTGGGGCTACGGCGTCGACTAAAACCCCTAAAAACCCTTTAAATATCCCTCATTAAAACAAAAAACTAACTATTTCGATGGTAAATATGAAAGAGGGTGCGATAAGGAGAGAAAAAGCGACAAAAAGCGAAGGACATCCCCCTCGGAAGGCAGCGGCCACCCCCATTTACACGTCGATGAGCTCGGCCGGAAACGCGTCCATCAAACTACAAATGTCAATATTGGAGAGCGAAAATAACGCACATTTTCACCAAAACGGGACAAAAAGAGAGTTTAGCTTCCACCTGGACGCGAAACAAAGCGAGTGTGCGGTTCAGAGGAGGTGAAAGCGGAGGCAGAGGCCCGTGCGGGGAGGAGAAAGGCCGGGGCTGGGCTCGGATCATTAGTGTAATCTGCTCAACCCCGATCAGAAGAGCTTTAAAAGTCCACACACACAAAAAACACACTAAAACACACATAAAACACACTAAAACACACTAAAACACACTGAAACACACATAAAACACACAAAAACACACTAAAACACACTGAAACACACATAAAACACACTAAAACACACTGAAACACACATAAAACACACAAAAACACACTAAAACACACTGAAACACACATAAAACACACTAAAACACACTGAAACACACATAAAACACACTAAAACACACTAAAACATCCTAAAACACACTGAAACACACATAAAACACACATAAAACACACTGAAACACACATAAAACACACTAAAACACACTGAAACACACAAGAAGCATCAGTCTCATCAGGATTCTAACGGAGCAACTGCGGTTTTAAAGGCCCCAGATTCTGTAAAATTCACTCCTGTGAGATTTAAACCTTCCAGATCTGAACCCAGTTTCACTACATTTGTCCTCACCTGGATTTTGTTATTATTTTTGCTTTTTAAACTGACCTTTTTTCACTTCAACCTGTTATTTCACTATTTCACTGCTCCATTTGTGTCACACAGTGTTGGGAAATTTACTTTTAAAATGTAATCCCCTACAGATTACATACTCCAAAATATAGTTTGTAACATAATCCATTAAATTACTTAAAGTGAGTAATGTAATCTGAATACTTTGGATTACTTGATATTGTCATGCTTTTTAAAACTACATGAATGAACCGACCACATCCTGAAAATTCATGTTTGTTTTCTTCAAATTGAGCCCAAGTCTCCATGAAAAGACTTTTGTTTTACTGTAGAGAAGCAAAGACGAGAATCTTAACATAAAAAGTTTTGTCTGATAAAGAAAATAAAAAAGTATGTCCTTAACTATATTAAAAAATATTATTGATAAAGAAATTATTCCTATACAAGATCACTGCTGCCTTCATTTATGTCCACCCGACTGTTAGGTGTCAGTGTTCAGTCCTGGTTTAGTCCTGGTTTAGTCCTGGTTTAGTCCTGGTTTAGTCCTGGTTTAGTCCTGGTTTTAGTCCTGGTTTAGTCCTGGTTTTAGTCCTAGTTTAGCCCAAAATGTGAAAACAGGAAAATACCACCATGTAATCCATTTATTTCAACAAAGTAACTGTAATCCAATTCCCACTCACTGAAACAGTAACTGTAACTGAATACAGTTACTCATCATTTGTACTCTGATTATGTAACTCTGGTACATGTAATCTGTTACTCCACAACACTAGTGTCATATGACTGAAATAAAAACTACAGGAGCAGAAATACACATGAAAAAAGACATAAAAATTCACAATCTTTCATCCAAACTCACACAAACATTTATAAGGCAAGTTTATTTGTACAGCACAATTCGTACACAAAGTAATTCAAAGTGTTTTACAGAATAAGAAATACATTAAAATCATAATAAAAACAAATCAAAACATAAATAATCATGAAGATTAAAATTAAAAAAGAGAGACATAAATTGGAGAGAAGAGTGCGGAATGAAAACCTTTCAGTTATTTGCACAGTTAAACAGAAATGTTTTGAGTCTGGATTTAAACAGCGTCACAGAAGAGTCTGTCTCACATGTTCAGACTGTTCCAGGTTTTAGCTGCATGAACCTGAAACTCTGACTCCCCTTGTTTAGTCGTGACTCTGGCACCAGCAGGAGTTGGTCCCTGAGCTCCTCAGAGTGTGAGATGTTCATATGACACTAACATGTCACAGATGGACTTTGGTGCTCGGCCATGGAGACACTTGTACAAACAGAGACACTTTAAAGTCTCTGAGCCACAGGAGCCAGAGCAGAGACCTGAGACCAGGACACATGTGCTCGTACTTCCTAGTTCGAGTCAGGACTGGATGTTCCGAGCTGTTCTGGATGTTCTGGATGTTGTGGATGTTGTGGATGTTCTGGATGTTCTGGATGTTCTGGATGTTCTGGATGTTGTGGATGTTGTGGATGTTGTGGATGTTCTGGATGTTCTGGATGTTCATGTTGTGGATGTTCTGGATGTTGTGGATGTTGTGGATGTTGTGGATGTTCTGGATGTTCTGGATGTTGTGGATGTTGTGGATGTTGTTCTGGATGTTCTGGATGTTGTTCTGGATGTTGTGGATGTTCTGGATGTTCTGGATGTTCTGGATGTTCTGGATGTTCTGGATGTTCTGGATGTTCTGGATGTTCTGGATGTTCTGGATGTTGTGGATGTTCTGGATGGATGTTGTGGATGTTCTGGATGTTGTGGATGTTCTGGATGTTGTTCTGGATGTTGTGGATGTTGTGGATGTTCTGGATGTTCTGGATGTTGTGGATGTTGTGGATGTTGTGGATGTTCTGGATGTTGTGGATGTTGTTCTGGATGTTCTGGATGTTCTGGATGTTGTGGATGTTGTGGATGTTGTGGATGTTGTGGATGTTGTGGATGTTCTGGATGTTCTGGATGTTGTTCTGGATGTTCTGGATGTTGTGGATGTTGTTCTGGATGTTCTGGATGTTGTGGATGTTGTGGATGTTCTGGATGTTGTGGATGTTGTGGATGTTGTGGATGTTGTGGATGTTCTGGATGTTCTGGATGTGGATGTTCTGGATGTTCTGGATGTTGTGGATGTTCTGGATGTTCTGGATGTTCTGGATGTTCTGGATGTTGTGGATGTTGTGGATGTTCTGGATGTTCTGGATGTTGTGGATGTTCTGGATGTTGTGGATGTTGTGGATGTTGTGGATGTTCTGGATGTTCTGGATGTTCTGGATGTTCTGGATGTTCTGGATGTTCTGGATGTTCTGGATGTTCTGGATGTTCTGGATGTTGTGGATGTTGTGGATGTTGTGGATGTTCTGGATGTTCTGGATGTTGTGGATGTTCTGGATGTTCTGGATGTTGTGGATGTTCTGGATGTTCTGGATGTTCTGGATGTTCTGGATGTTCTGGATGTTGTGGATGTTGTGGATGTTGTGGATGTTCTGGATGTTCTGGATGTTCTGGATGTTCTGGATGTTCTGGATGTTCTGGATGTTGTGGATGTTGTGGATGTTCTGGATGTTGTGGATGTTGTGGATGTTGTGGATGTTGTGGATGTTGTGGATGTTCTGGATGTTCTGGATGTTCTGGATGTTGTGGATGTTCTGGATGTGGATGTTGTGGATGTTGTGGATGTTGTGGATGTTCTGGATGTTCTGGATGTTCTGGATGGATGTTCTGGATGTGTGGATGGATGTGTGGATGTTGTGGATGTTCTGGATGTTCTGGATGTTCTGGATGTTCTGGATGTTCTGGATGTTCTGGATGTTCTGGATGTTCTGGATGTTCTGGATGTTGTGGATGTTGTGGATGTTCTGGATGTTCTGGATGTTCTGGATGTTGTGGATGTTCTGGATGTTCTGGATGTTGTGGATGTTGTGGATGTTGTGGATGTTCTGGATGTTGTGGATGTTCTGGATGTTCTGGATGTTGTGGATGTTGTGGATGTTGTGGATGTTCTGGATGTTCTGGATGTTCTGGATGTTCTGGATGTTCTGGATGTTCTGGATGTTCTGCAACGTCTCACAGCTCATTTGGAGAGACCAGTTGAGCAGAACATTACAGTATCTAACCTCCATCCATCCATTTTCTTCCACTTATCTGGGGTCGGGTCGCGGGGGCAGCAGTCTAAGCAGGGACTCCCAGACTTCCTTCACCCCAGACACGTCCTCCAGCTCCTCCAGTGGGACCTGAGGTGTTCCCAGTCCAGTCCAGAGACATCGTCCCTCCAGTGTGTCCTGGGTCTCCTCCTCCTCCTGGTGGGACATGAACACCTCCTGAGGGACACGTCCAGGAGACATCAGAACAGATGCCCGAGCCTCAGCTGGCTCCTCTCGACGTGGAGGAGCAGCGGCTCTACTCCGAGCTCCTCCCGTGTGACTGAGCTCCTCACTCTGTCTCTAAGAGAGACGCCCAGACCCCTGTGGAGGAAACTCATTTCAAGCTCTTGTATCCACGATCTTCGTCCTTTCGGTCACTACCCAGACTCATGACCAGAGGATCTATCAGTCAGTGTCTAAGCTACTGGAGACAAACACATGGATAAGTCTCTCCACATCTGCTTTAGACAGTAAACCTTTGATTTTTGACATGTTTTTTAGATGGTAAAAGCTGCAGATGTTATTGATTTGATGTAGTAAACAACTTTTTGGGTATAAAAAATGCAGAATTTAGGGTCTTAGCTACAAAAGTGCAAAATATCAAGTGTGTAAATAAACTACAAATCTTCTTACTGCCTCAAAACAAAATATAAAAGTCGTGTCAGTCGTGGAATCGTTGGTCTTAAATCCCGGTGTGAAGTTGACGGGACATTTACAGTTTTTAATTAGTTTCTGTTTCGTGTTTGTTCAGTCTCTTCATGTTTGTGTCTTTATACTTTACATCCAGGATTTCAGGATTTACACAATATTCAGTTTGTTGATTCGTTTCATCTTGAGAAAAGAGTCGAGGCTCAGTTTTGTTTGTTTCAGGATCAGATGATTCATGTTTGATCCACAGAAACAAAATTACAGGTTTCAATAACAGTGTTTTTTTTTCTTTAAGATTAATATTTTTGGTACTTAAATCCTAAATAAATATCGGAGCACAAGGTTATTGAGTAAATGTGTTAAAATGTGGTTCACTTTGTTTTTGAATAAAGAATTATTTAAAGAAGAAACAAATCAAACATGAATCTTGTTTATTTATGAATAAATCGTTTTAATCCTGATTCAAAACCAAGAAAATGATCCAACGTGTTCACAGCAGCTCCGTGTGTCTCTGTGTCTCTGTGTCTCTGTGTCTCTGTGTGTCTCTGTGTGTCTGTGTCTCTGTGTCTCTGTGTCTCTGTGTCTCTGTGTCTCTGTGTCTCTGTGTC